TACTCAGGGAGTCATGTCCTATAGTCTTATTAACTTTACCATTTCAATTTCATTTGTTGGGCAAAGGAATAAAGAAGAACAGGTTTCGTAAATAGGCCGGAAATTCGTTCCGTTTGCTAGTTTGGATTCTGTTTGATCGGATCTTTCAAGCATACTATTACCAAGAGTTTTTCCTACGGAGCTGAAGTAACTATTTACTTTATTGAGAGATTCTAATTGATTGGACCCAATTTTAAGCAGTTCTTCGTTCGAGTATTTAACAAAAGTAATACTACATATATTTTTAACCGTTTCCCATGTCTTTTTAATATTTTTTTATTTTGAAGTAGCATCTACTTTTTATAATTAAATTTAACCTTCTGTAATATATCTCCACAGTAATTCCTATATAATTTGTACTCATTTTGAGCACTTATGTCATTAGGGAACTTTCTAGCTTTAGTATGAAGTGCATCACGTCGTTGAGTGCATTTAAGTAGTCCCGGCGTCATCCACTTTTTATAGACAAAATCACGACTACATACTTTTATTTTGATTTTGTGTTTGTCAATGGCAGTATTTATGCTATTCAAGAAGTAATTTACTGTATATTTTGTGTCAGTTATTTTGTAAAGTCCAGTACAATCGGCCTTTTTTAATATTTCACGAAAAGAATCATAGTTAATTTTGGTGTGTTTTGTGCTAACGTATTCCTTACGTGATTGCATTTTTATGCAGCATAATACTGCGCTGTGATCGGTTAAGGCCGAATGACATACAACTGTAGTAGTGTCTGGAGATGACTTTACCATACAGTGGTCAAGACAATTTGGACCTCTTGTTGGAAAATTGTGACCAGGTATATAACCATAATGCGTTAAGATACTCAGGTATTCATCTAAGTCCTCATTTGAGGTTTTTTTAATGAGGTTAATGTTAATATCTCCCATTAGTATAGAATAAGGTTTAGTCAAAGAACACAATATTGATTCCAGTGAAGTGAGAAAATTGTTGATATTTGTGGGAACTAATGGGGAACGATAGATGGCTATCAGAGAATAAGTCTGCTCGACTTGCAGCACTAAACAGTTTGTATCCCGGAATGGTGGTTCCATAACATCGATGTTGAGATTGGGCCGTGAATAAATCGCAGTACCGTCACATTGATTTAAGTAAGATTTAGAGTGAAAGCATTTATTGTCATCTAACGTATTTAATTTAGAATTCATTGATCCTGCACTCCGTGAGTACAATAATATCGGGTTTAAATTTTAAGCGCTTCAAAAATATATCCAATTTATTAAAATTTTTACTGATGCTACGGATATTTTGAAATATTAGAGTGAGTATTTTAACATCGGTTCCTAGCAAGTGGAACTTACACTGCACGGGATCATTTAATTAAACTCTACTTGTAAGATTAGTGCTGTCAATCTCATTTATTATATTTCTTCGACTATCCATTTGTGTTGATTTGATTAGCAAATTCTAAAAAGCTTAAGTAAAAGTAAAATAATTCACAGTCGTAAAACGAGATATTGTTATTGTTATTTTGTAGTACACATGATGATATCGTATAACTCCTTATGCACAGTAATTGAAAAATATTAGCTCTGTTAGGAATTTCATAATTAAATAAGGATATTTTTTCAGTGAAATAAATATGAAACTTATTTTCCAGGTCATTTTTTGAAGATGCATGGGTGTAGTTTAGTAATTGAGGCATTATTGTCAATGTATTAATTTGAGTAAATAGTCAAGGTATTAAATAATTTGGTGTGCTATTATTTTGTCTTAATTTAAGTAAAAAGGCATACGTATAAATTAAACTAATCTTACGGATTTATCACGTTTAATTTTAACTTTTTAATTTTTAGATGTTTCGGGTGCTTTACAACACCCATGGTTACGGGAGGGACTGAGGTGTTTGACGTCCCGATGTAATAATTAGATCTACGCAGAACGAACTAACAGTATCTTGAACCTTGAAGTAGTATGCTTGACTTTAGATTAAATTTTATTAATTATAGGATCCCAAACATATTGTAACACCCATCCATCTTCTTATTAAATTAGTATGTTTTTTTTTAATTTCAATAGCCTAGCGTATCATCCTTGGAGGGAATCGATATTATTTTGCTAGGATTCGTGGTCTATCAAATCTGATATAATGACGGGGATGATTTTGAACATGTTCACAGACTGCCTGTAACACATTAGTCACCCTCATGACCATGGTCACCGTAAAGCAGGCTAAACGTCGGGAATGAAAAAGTTAAAATTAAACGCGATAAAATCTGTAAAAATTTTTTCATTTAATGTGCGGTATTCTCGTAAATATAAGAAATCTTAAATCATTGTGTGGATGAATTAATCCACATTTTTTGTTTGTAATGTAAATTAAATTTACAGCTCAATACATCCTACTGCTAGGGCAGAGGCTTCCTTTAGTCTTTGAGAGTATTCCACGGCATGAATCTTTTCGCAGCGCTGCCTATATACATATTAGCGGACTTCCTATGTCTTCAAAATGTTATTCTAATTTATCAGACATGCAGCTTTCGTCACAATATTTTCTTTGACCGCGCATAGGGAAAATCAGTAGAGAAAATTGCAATAAAATAATAATTAGTTAAGTCACCGAGTTACGACGGCTGTGGTGGTTATGAAATAGAAACAAATATAACGGTATCATTAGCATCATCAAAAAATAGACACAAAAATTATGGGTTCAATTATATAACTTAATTTTACGTAAACAAATTATTATGTGAAGTTACATGTTACATTTTTATAACAACAAAACTTTCTCGATCCAAAATAAAGTCCAGAGTAGCACATGTGAATTGTAAAATAAACCTATCGGACTTTGTAATTATCAATGTAGCTGCGGTGTGATATCCTCTATCTCATATCTCATGGGTGTTGTAAGAGGTGACAGAAAGAAGCTGAATCAAAAGATGGGCAACAGTATCCACCTAAAACAGCGGTGGCCTACCCGCTTGCTAAGCGTGGCAAACATCTCCTCTATGAGGCAATCTGTGTTCAGCACTGGACTTATGACTGGCTGTAATGGTAAAATAATGGAAAAAAGAAACGAGTGTGCTTATGACCACACGACTAAAGTAAAACTTCCTTAGCTCTTGTTTATTTGTGTTTATATATGCATATATGTATAATATATACATGTATATACATATACATATATTAATTTTCTACAAGTATTTAAATTTATTATCGGCTTCCTTCCATAATTTGTTATTATTCACCCGGAAATTAACAAAAAATAAACTTCAAAATTAATTTACAATTTTATTCACTTTAAACGTAGAATATTTATATTGATTCTATAATGATAAACTTCTTCATAGAAAAGTAGTCTCTATATAAGTTTTTATGGGTTAAAGTGCTGTAGGGGGGTGCAGTCATATTTGACCGCTTGAATTTTGACGGAATATCGAAGCGGTCAAATTTGGTCGCTTGGTGTTTTAGAGGTTAAATACGTGTCAGTGATTTGTGTGATCAGAGCCGAATCAATCTATAGGCAAAGTAAACAACTGACTATGGGTTTCGCGGCCTTAGTAAATTGCACTGCCTAGAGATCTCTAAATGGCTTAATTTGGCGCTGGTGTATCACGAGTAGCATCGACTTATCTCATCCTATCTATCAGCAGACAAGGCACAATTGATCCATGCGATAGCTTGTGGAAATACCTTGGTATTGCTGACATGATTGTGCAAAGTAAACATACAAGTGCCAATAGCTAAATCTAAGCTGCAACTATTTCGTTGAAACCGAAAAAAATAATTTAGACTTTAAACGGCTAGACATAAAAATGAATATTGTGTGCATTCACGATATTGCGTTACACATTTAACAAGTAAATGGTGTTTGAGTAATATAACCCGATTTACTTTCTTCTATTGGATAAGAGCCTATAGTATATAGTTTTATGCAAAAATGGATGTTATATATAATATTAAATTTATGTACATTTCTATTAAACATATACACCAGTAGCTGGTGCAAGTGAACTTTCAATTATATTAACATAAAATGTTATTTTGATGTGTTTCAATTAATATGATATGTTAATCATTAAAATAATTAGCTAAAATACAAAACAACTTTTTCTTTTATTATCATAGATTTCCTCGTGTTACGAAGTGTTATGAAAACGTACAAATTTACATATAAAAGACATCAACGTGTTCAAACTATTTAAGAACTAATCTATAGAAAACGAAATTGTAAAATTACAAAAGTACCGATTTATTTTAGAAACATTGTCAGAACTATAGAGTTTTGATAATAATGACGATTATGATGATAATGACACACCTGGGTTTTGATCTGGGCAATCTTGAAGTTATCCCAATTTATATGTACACAATGTTGGAAAAGCTAACTACTAAGCGTTACTTTAAAACTCACTCCACTTTTTAAGAGTTTTTAAAGCATATTCTTTTAATAATTGATATATTCAATATTTCTAAATTGCTATTTATTTTTTATTTGGCGCAATAAATAAAATTAAAAAAGTTAGTAGACTCACTCATATTATGTCCGCATTCTAATGCCGACTTGTTTCTTCATTAACATGTTTTTAATTTGCATACGCTAAATATATTTCGCGGAACGTATTAATATTTTACATTATAGGAATTATGTTAATTTTAAATAATTTTCTACTACCGCTCTTCTGGATAATTCTATGAGTTTATCTGAGCTTGACATATTTATAATATTTTTTTAAATATTTGTTAATTTCATGCTAAATTTAAGCTCATTTTGACGTCAAAATCTGTCTTTTGTTGTGTAATATACATATAATTATGACATGCAATAAGTATAACATTTTTATTTATGTTTTGAATTATAAAAATCAAACTAATTCTAAGTACGGCTTTATGATACAGTCTTCTTAACTTAACTCACTAATTAATGACAATAATAATATACTTGTTATATTTCCTAGAGCTATAAATGAATGAACGATCTTTATAAAAAGAATAGTTACCTTACGTTTTCTTTTCGCAAAAATATAAAGACACAATAAACACAAGATTTTGAGGTACGAATCCGCGAAACGACTGATCGCTCGACTGCACAACACTTACTGTTACTGATTGGGACTGAATGTGAATGTGAATGGGTTTTGTGAGTGAACGAAGGCGAACGAAGTTAGGACGTTCGAGAATTTTGCACAATTGTGCGAGAAGTAGAATATATGCATAATTCGAAACAAATTTAATATAGATTAGATGATATCAGATAAAGATTTTCGTTATAAAATATTATAGTAATATTTTTTATAGAATCGACATGTTGTAGAGCAATGTTGCAGCTATATTACTGGTATAGTTGTAGCACGAATGGGTCGGCTCGATTGGGGAAGGACCATGCTCTTATATAATACCAGCGTTAAATAGCAGCTTAACGCTGCTGTGTTTCGTATGGTGAGTGTAGAGAACCGGAAACCCTTTTTACTGGAAACGAGGCAATCCATCTTAGTTCTCACGGGTGACAACGCATCTCCTTTTTTATTTGTAATCGAGGATATATGTAGATATCAATGGGCCGCAGCATCCACTTACCATCAGATGGACTGTGGGCTTGTTTGTCAGCCTTATCCTTTTAAAATAAGAGTAAAAAACGAGCACACAGTCCATCTAATGGTAATTGGGTGCTAGGACCCAAAAACATCTGAATTTATTATAAGAATCAAAGTGCGGATGCGTTGTCATCCCTCAGGACTAAAATTATTATCTATTTTACAAATTGGCCCTCGTTACCCCTTAAGACCAAAGCACAGCAGTGCACGCACTTCTGTTTGGCGGCAGATATAGATAAGAGTACGATATAAATAAGAGTATGATATAGCTACCTTGACGGCTTCATATGCAGAGAAGGAGCACCACTACCTAGTTTATTTAATACTTGCGATTACTAAGCCACGTACTCATTTTTTAAACCTAGATAAATATAGATGTCTATGGGGCAAAGCTTACCATCAGGTGAATTGTGTGCTCTTTCGTCAACCTTATCTATAAAAAAAGACTGCTGTGCATGTGCTGGCGCAAGTTGGAAATTGCAATGTTAGACACGTCACACTGGGTTACTTCCGTTGCTGGTCTGGAATTTATTCTTTGAATAACTTCTTTTGAGTTCTTTTTCCATCGTTAAATTGGGACAAGTAGTAAATGAAATAGCTTGTAAGGAGTCAAGAAAGTACGTGTGGAAAAAAGTGCGTGTGCATATTTCGTGAATCGGCCTATATGACCCGTCGGTAGGCTATTGGGAGGCAATGTTCTTTTGCCATCATATAAACATAAGATTCCACTAGTACATGCCCGTAAGATTGCACTGGACATGGACCTCTCTTGTGTAGAGAGGGTATGCCATGTCCCCTGGTGTTGCAGTTGTACATGGGCGGCGGTCGACACTACCATCAGTGAGTCGCATGTTCGTTTGCCGATTCTTCTATAAAAAAATTAACAAAAATGCTTGTCAATCGGATTGACAATCACAGACGCAGTTGAAATTAAAAATTAAACTAAGCTAGCTCCATTCAATACTAAGCTTATATCCTTCCTAACAAAAATGTTTCTATTCCATTAAACCTATATAGGGCTGAATCTGAATGACGGGTGAGAGATTGTGTGATAAGAAAAGTATAGATTATATTATGATCAAGATTAAAAACGAATGCTTCGGTGATTTGATCATGTAGAAAGAATAAATGTGGAAAAAGTGGCAAAGTAAATTTATGTTGCGGAAGTGAACGGTAGAGTTGGCAAGTGACAACCTAGATGAAAGTTTATCAAACTGGCTATATATTGAAGATGGGCCAGAGTAAAAGTACCCTTAATTGACGAGCATGTATGCGAAGGTACTCGTATATGGATGTAAAGGAGGCCAGAGAGATGTGTCAGGATCTTGCCAAATGGAAGTCCGTAGTCTCTGTCTATCCCTCTGGGTGACAGACGTGAGTGTTTATATTCTATGTTATGTAATAACTATATCGATCTGTAGAATAAAAGTAGGAACAAAAACTTTTTTTCAATATAGATAACGTATTGAAAGTCACTCCTTTGTTTAATATACTACTTGTTACGAAAAAAAAACCTCTGTCCTGGAAAGGAAACCAAGAAAGTCTCAAAAATATGTTATTGTAAAATCCTTTAATATGGTAATAAAATATTACTATTTGATTGTTTAACTAACACCAAAATGCAATGCCAAATTGTCACTCACTACAGTTATTATGGAATAAATTCTACTACACTTGTTATTTTTTTGTATAATAAGAGTGACTAACACACATTCCACGTGATGTTAACTTAATGCTGTGATCCATAGTCACCTACATTTATACTCAATTAGGAATCAAAACGTAGAAGCGTTATCAACCCTGAGGACGAAGATGGAATGCCTTTGTAACGGCCCATTTTTATTATAAATTATTAATATGAAGCCCTCAAAAATTATCTAAGAAAAAATGTATTGAACAAAAAAATACACTAATAAGCATAAACCTAAAATAAATACATTTCAGATATTAAGTATTTATAGTATAGGCTTAATATTGTCTTTCAAAATCAATAAATACATTAAAAACTTTGTTAAAATATTCAAAACGTGATAAATAATAGAAATACAAGACGAAAAAAAAATAAAGATAATAACATTTATAAAATAATTGGAAATTTGGTTAAAAAGTCATGGAGGGAGTTATGGGAGTTCGTGTATAAGACAATTCCAAGTCACAACGTCCATTCAGAATACAAATCGCCTGAATATTTTATTGCTGCAATTTCTCTATCAAAGTTTCTGCCATTCATCATTCATTATAGCTTATCAAAAGTTCACCGCTGTACATATGCCTCACCCTTAAATTGCCTCGTAGAAGCGATTTTGTGAGGGAATGTGGGGTTGTGGATATTCCGATCTTGCCACTACGCCGTGAAAAAATATAATAGAAATAAAAAAAAGATAATAAAATAATTGGAAAAATAAGTCATGGAGGGAGTTCGTGTATAAGACAATTCCAAGTCACAACGTCCATTCAGAATACAAATTTCTCTTTCAAAGTTCTATTCATCGTTCATTATAGCTTATCAAAAGTTCACCGCTTAAAGTATGTTTTAACATTCGTTTACTCGACAGTTTTCACATTGGTCTAATATTTCGAACCGTTAAATGTTTTGTTAATTGAAAAGTGCATTGGTCCGTGAGCTGCGTGTTGCCGAGTGTGTTACAGTGAGCGCCAACCCAAACAACGCCCTCCTCTCCAAGAAGTCGACGAAAACTTAGAAACTGGACCGTAGTCATCCGAACCAGTAAAACAAGGCTTGCCCCCTTAATAGTGCATAAGCACAAATATCGACCGAAGTCGCGCATGTCAATGCATGTAAACACCACAGACGATACGATCAAATTCAGCTACAGTGAATGCACGTCACATGGTTTGGGCACATTTTGAATAATAGGCACACTGGCCGTAAAAACACCCTCTGTAGGGACCGCCACCTGCTAAACCGCCTGTCCTGCAGATGTGACGTAAGTTTAAGGCATCACTACACGCAGAGCGTGTCCTGAGACTACTGTTCACCTCAGGGAATGGGGTAGCACTTGAACGGGTTTAGGCCACAGCATTGAGAGTTTCCTCCCTTCAGCTTCCACCTGCATGAGATCAACACATATGCTCCACCAACCTATACAACGGCAGATATAATCAAAAGCAATTATAAAATTCAGACATCAGAACGGAATTGCGTAAATGACGTTGGGTATATGTATTTTTGAGTGTTTGTCGCACCCAACAACAAGTTACCTTTATTTTTAGTTTCATCGGAACGTGGGAAATTTACAGAGAAATTTTCGTATGTTGTGACATAAAACGTTAGGGAGGCCAAATAGTCTACAGGCCCGTCATACGAGGGACCCAACTTAGGTAAAACTCCTTAGGTGTTAGTCAAACCAAGACGCAGAGAGAGCTGTTGAGAATTTCGATTCGCCCAAACTACTATATCTGGGAATCCATGCCACAAAATGCAAGAAACATCAATACAAAGCCCTAATTAATATCAAGGTCCCCAATACGATCCCTGCAGATATCTCCACCCGCATACCTCCATTGACTTCCTCGTAAGATGATATGTCTAGGGCATATCGGTTATTGAGTCCACGTTTACCGCGGTCTCGATCCCGGTAAGGAAGTCTAAACGACACTTATAATTATGCTCTTCAAGACCCATTCCTACTCATATAATACTTTTATATATCCGAGAAATTTCTCATAAATTGCTTTACGTCATAGACCTTACTTTCATATGCCTTTTTAATATTGGACTTCAATCTCCAACAGTGCTATTTAAAGTGCTTATTGCTATACCCATAATATGGGCATATGACTTTAGCATCATATGTCCATAATATGGAACTATTACATTGTGATTTCGAACACTACACATTGTAATTGGGACGAATTTAATTACAACAAGACTTCGTTAAGCAGTTGTGATCGACCTCCACACCTACTCCATATGTCTGAATGTACTGTAGATCTGTGTGTAGTGGTAGTGCAATAATATCCACTACCCCATATCACTCCGTGGGTGTCGTAAGAGGCGACGGAGGAAAAAAATCGGGAGATAGGCAGCAGCGTCTTCATGATAACGACTAAAAGTATAAAACGGTTGCCAACCCGCTCTCCAAGCGTCAAAAACAAAAAGAATACTGAAGTTAGTCGGGCTAACATCGGGACATCAAACATCTCATCCCCCTCCCCCCTCCCGTGATTATAGGTGCTGTAAAGCACCCGAAACGTCAATAATTAAAAATAAGTAAACTAAACGCGATAAAAACCGTAAAAATAGTTTTATTCGATGTGTAATGTTCGCGTTATTATAAGAAATCATAATGTCATTTAATTGTTTTTGTAATATAGTAGGCTTGTGTTTTTATTATTTTATATTGCTTTAATATTGTAGTCACGACGAAATTTAACGATTTTTTAAGATCATTATTTAAGCCTTCGCTGTATTTGAGATGTACATAATT